GTACACGCACGCGCACGCGCACGCGCACGCGCACGCGCACGCGCACGCGCACACGCACACGCACACGCACACGCACAATCACACGCACACGCACACGCAGGCGCAGACGCAGGCGCACACACAGACACAGACAGGCACACAGACCCACACAGACACACACACACAGACCCACACATACACAGACACACGCAGACACAGGCAGACGCACAAACAGAAACCCACACACAGCAACACAGACACACAGACACAGACACACAGACACACCCACAGACACACACAGCCACACACAAAGACACACACACAGACACACACAGACACACACAGACACACATACACAGACGCACACACAGACACACACAGACACACACACACACAGACACGCACACAGACACACACACAGACACGCACACACAGACACCCACAGACAGACAGACTGACACAGACACAATTCGACAACACACACACAGAAACACACACAAACAGACACTCACAGACACAGGCACACGTAGACACACACACACACATTCACACACAAGCACACACAGACATACACACAGACCCGGACGCAAACACGCGCACAGACACACACAGCCACACACACAGACACACATACAGACACACACAGACATACACACACATTCACACACAAGCACACACAGACACACACGCACAGACACGCACAAACACATTGACGCACACAGAGACACGCACAGACACACGCACACACACAAACACAAATACAGCCACACACACAGACACACACACAAAGAGACACACACACAGACACACACACACAGACTCACACACAGATAGACACACAGAAAGACACACATTCACACAGACACACCGACAGACACAAACTCGCACAGACACACAGACAGACACACAGACATATACACACAAAACACACACACAGAAAGACACACACAGAGACATACACACAGACACACACAGACACACACACACACGAACACACACCGACATACACACGCAGACACAGACACAGACACAGACACACACACAGACACACACAGACACACACACAGACGCACACACAGACACACACAGCCACACACACACAGTCACACACAGACACACACACACAGACACTCGTACACAGACACACACACACACATAGACACACACACACAAATACATACAGAAACACAAACAGACACATACAGTGACACACACACACACGCACAGACACAGACACACACAGACACAGACACACACAGACACAAACAAACAGACACACAGCCAGACACACAGACACACGCACACACACGCACACACAGACACATGACCACAGACACGCACACAGACACACACACACAGACCTTCACACAGACACACACACATACACAGATATGCACAGACACACATACAGCCACACACACAGACATACACACAGACACACACACAAACAGTCACACAGACACACAGACAGGCACACTGACAGGCACACAGACTGACAGACACACACACAGACGCACACACAGACGCACACACACAGACACACACACACACACAGAAACACAGAGACACACAGAGACACACACAGACACAGCCACACAACCATACACACAAACACGCACGGACACGCACACGCAAACGCACACGCACCACGCACCACGCGCGCACGCGCGCACGCGCGCACGCGCGCACGCGCGCACGCGCGCACGCGCACGCGCCCCCGCGCGCACGCCCCCGCGCGCACGCACACGAGCGCACACGCACACCGACACGCACTTACAGACGCGCACGCACACGCAAACGCACACCAACACGCACACGCACACGCACACGCATACGCACGCACACGCACACGCACACGAAAGCGCACACGCACACGGACACGCACACGCGCACGCGCACAGACGCACAGACGCACAGACGCACACACGCACGCACGCACACGCGCACACACGCACACATACGCGCAAACACACACAGGCACGCACGCACACGCGCACACACGCACACACGCACACACGCACACACGCCGCACACAAGCCCACACGCCCCCACACCCCCACAACCCCACGCCCCCACGCCCCCCAGCCCCCCACCCCAAACCCCCACACCCCCACACCCCCACACCCCCACACCCCCACACCCCCACACCCCCAAAGCCCCACACCCCCACACCCCCACACGCCCACACGCCACACGCACACACGCCCCACCCCCACACCCCACTCACACCCCCCCACCCCCAAACCCCACACTCCACACCCACCACACCCCCCCACACCCCCACACCCCACACCCCCACACCCCCACACCCCCACCCCCACACCCCCACACCCCGCGCCCCCACCCCCCACACCCACACACACACCCACACGCCCACACCCCAACACCCCCAACCTCACACACACACAAACACACGCACACACACACCCACACACCCACACCCCACACACCCCAACACCCCCACACCCCCAAACCCCCACACCCCCACACCCACACACACCCCCACACCCCTACACCCCCCACACTCTCACACCCACACAGACACACACACACCCACACAGTTAGACACACACACACACACAGACACACACAGACACACACACACACACACACGCACACACACACACAGAGACACGCACGCACGCACGCACGCATACGCACACGCACACACACGCACACACACACACAAACACACGCACGCACGCACGCACGCAGGCACACACACACACACGCACACACACACACACACACACACACACACATTCTTTTTGGCAGTCGCGGCCTCGCGCGCAGCGTCGAGGCGGAGAAAAATCTGATCCAAAACGCACGCGGGCGGGCCCTCATGGGAAACTCCACAAATTCGTTGTGCGCCAACAGCAGCAAACCGTCCTGGCGTGGATGGCGAGGAAAGGACACGCTGACCCTGGTCTAGACTTTCCAACGGAAGCGTGGCGCGAGAGCGGTGGGTACACACACACTCTCTCTCAAAGACTTGACGTTTTATGGAAGAGGTGTCATCCAGGCCCCGGGCAGCCGGCCGCTTCTACAGTCAGCTCAGCTCGCGGCGGTGCCTTCGGGCAGGGATGGCCAGAAGGGCGGCGGCGGCGGCGGCAGCGCGGGGGTCACGATGGCCGAGGGGTCTGCAATGTAGCAGCTGCCAAGTACAGTGTTCCAGAACCGCTGCAGATCACGGCGCGTGGCAAGATGAGCCGAGCAATCACAGACGCACACCCGCAAAGACATTCACCGCAGACTGTGTCTTCCGACGTGGCTATGGGGTGCAGCCATCATGCTGCCAGGATCACTGAGCTGTAAAGTCAAATGCGTCCAGAAAAAGCGGACGCGGGTGAACGAAGGAAGCTATTTGCTTCGAGCGACCCCCACCAAGATGCTCTTACTGCATGTCCTTGGTGTGAGTTCGTGATGGACGCTAATGGTGTGAATGTGTATGTGGGATTGTTTCTTAGTCTGGTCTTGATGTCTGTCCATGGCGTCTGCTCTTTCTCAATGTTTCCGGTATCGGATGGTTGTGCCTCCTTTCGGTGTGTGTCAATTGTGACCGTGCTGGGTGATCTGCGACAACTGGAACGTAGTAACTCGTGAATATGTGTGTGTGGTGACTCTTCGTGGTGCCTGTTCTCGACATGTGTTATTGGTGTATGTTCCGAGTGTGTATGCTCCGAGCCTGCGTCGTTCGTGCCGGCGGCTGATACGTTGCTGATGCCTGTTATTGGCAAGTGTTCGTGTTTGAACTTATTGTTGTCTGGGAGTGAGGCACGCCTTCGGTGTGTACGTTTGTTGTTTGTCCTGAGCGCCAGTGGCTCATATATGGTGTATGACGTTGTATGTGATTGGTGACGATTCGCGGTGGCTGTTATTGACGTATGTTGTTGGTATACGATAACAATGCATGCTGTAGATTCCTGCACTTGGTGTATGACAGCTGTGTATGTTGTGCATGTTGGTTCTTATGCATGGGACTGCTGCGTGTGATTAGCGTAAACGCACAGGTACAATGTTAATGGTGCATGCTGCTGGTAGATTCGTCACGCGTGCCCGTGTTGTAACTCATTGGGGTGTATTCATAATGTGGGTGCCCGAGATATGTTACTGGTGCACATGTTTGGCGTATTCTCTCTATGTGTGTGGACTGCGTGACGTCATGAGGCCTGGACGGTGTGACGTCTCTCTCTTGACAATGGGTTGAACTGTGCAATATACATGTTCCATGTGCTTGTGCGTCTTGTAATCGTTGCACCCTCGGGAATCTGTGGGGCCTGGCAAACGGGACATACAGGGCGGGCGAGGCGGGATACCCACGGACCACCCAGGCGATTTGGGCACGGCGGCCACGGTTTGCAGGACGGACAAGGTGGGTCGCAAACCTTCCTGTTAAAATCGAACGGCGCCAACCAGCCGAATTTGGATAAAATCCGAGCGCGTGAACCCACACGCACATACGCGTTGGCAGTCGAGGCGCCTCGAGCAGCGTCAGGGCTGGGTGACTCTCCGTGGACGCTCGCGGCCCGGCCTCAAAGGCCGCAGCGTTGCCATCAGTGACTGGGTGACGGGAGGAAAAGACCCACACACGCACACATGAAGGCGGTGGCGGCCTCGCGCGCGGCGACGAGGCGCCACACACGCACAAACGCACCCCCATCGAAACAGAAACACGAACGAGCACACACGCACGCGCACACAAACGCACACAACACACACACACACACACACGCATCCCGCGTGCAGCCACTGAACGAGCACACGTTGACACCCACCCCCCACACACACAGACACAGACACAGACACAGACACAGACACGCGCACACGTACACACAAGCACACACAAACACACAAACACACACACACACAAACACACAAAACACATGCCCCTGCGCACGCACTCAAGGACGCATGCGTGCACCACTACGCAGGCCAATGCGCGACACAGCAGAAGCAGCGAGTGCGCGACACAGCAGAAGCAGCGAGCGCAAACAGACAAACAAACGAAGGCAGCCGCGGACAGGAAGTCCACTTCCACCTCGCACTGCAAATCGGAGCCCTTCTGCGGACCTGGCGACGGGCAGGCGCGAGGCCAGAATCTCGGACCCACGGCGCGAGAGTACTCTCAAGACATCCCTGCCCTCCTCCCTTGGGCATCGTTTATCCGACCCCTGTCCACATCGGCGTGGCCTGGTCTGGGCCCAATTGGCCGCTCTACCCCTCTAGATGGGGATCTGGGCAGCCCATATGGGGTGGTGAAAAGGTAGGACTCGGGATGGGGATGGGGATCGCCGATCCCCACGCCTATCCCAATCCCGATCCCTATCACAGGGATCGGTTGAACGATTCCCCCCGCACCCCCGCCCCACTCCCTGGAGGGGGGCGACGGGCCCGCGGATAAAGCACCGGGCGAGGCCCCCTGGACATGGATCGGACAGGATCGAATCAACGTGACGAACAGGAGCCGATCCGACCAATACCAAAGCCGTCCGAACAATTTGTGGAGCATGAGCTCATCGATGACGACGGGCTCGGAAACAGCAAGCCCGATAAATTCGACAGGCCGACACAATGGAACGCGCCAAAGAAATCGAAAACAACCAATCGAGAGAAAATGCGTACATCTGCCATCGTGCCATGGTGACGCTAGGGCGCGTTGGATCCCTGGCCAGCGCGGGGACGGAAGGAGCGCTTCTGGAACATGCCCGAAAGAGCTCATGGCACCGTTCGATCTTGGGAACCTTCGCATAACGAGTTTTTCACGTGACAATTCGCTCTGGTCGGACAGTTCGGAACGCTGCAGCAGCACGGAGTCGGGGCGGGGCAGCCAGCTGCTAGCGCCCGCGAGCGAGCGCAGCGCACAGGCTGGCGCCAAGGACAACTCAAATGTCCGATCCAATCCTCGTCGCACGCGGCGACGCCGAACACCTGCTGGTTGTTCGGACTCGCGAAAACGATGGCCCAGAGCTGCGTCGCGTGGAACGACGGGCACCGGAATGGGCGCGCGAATGGACCCACGACGAAACACTGACTTTGCAACAAATTCTCGCTTTCCGCGCCGCCGGCCCGGAGAGCGCAGCATCGGCGCCGCCGTTCCGCCTTGCAGACGTCGCGCTCCATGTTCGCTTGGAAATTCAAATTATCCATGTCTTCACGTCCTCGTGGAATAATGTCAGCCCATTGCTCATCCTTCCATGCTGCGCATGCCGGATACTTGCACGACGGCTCGTTCTTATCTAACAGCCGCCTTCCCCACTTAACATCCCGTGACCCCTTCCCGTCTCGATTCGCGTCCAACCCCGCGCGGAGCCCCTTGTCCTTCGACCGAGTGGGCACCGTGAGCGCGAACGCATTTTGGATGCTGGCCTTCTCTTCTGGAATCCAGAACGTATTCAGCGCCCCTTGTTCCTCTGTGGACGCGTCTGCGGTGGGCGGATTCAAGGCGTTTTGCTTGACGGGCGGCGTTTGCCAAGAGTCTCCCACGAACGCCGCGCCGATGCCTCCGAAGAGGCGTTGCTGTCTGCCCCCTTCTGCGCGCGGATGTCGCAGGCATGCTCTCCGCAGGTGCGTGTCCAGCAACCCGAGCAGAGACGGTGGCGCTGTGCTGATCCAGCCGGTCACGATCCATCGTGCCCAGAGCCGTGTGAAGCACCTCGTCTATGTCGCCGTCCGCTCCGTTCTTTTCCACTTTGTCGCTGGCCTGCGTGGCATTGATGAGTGCGCGTCCCCAAGAATGAATGAACTGTCTGGCCACTGGCCACCCATGAGCGCTGCCGCGGTGCTTTGGGGCGCGAGAAACTGGAGCTCGACGCCGTCCTCCCGCCCCGGGCATCCATCGAGCATGCCTCTCACATGCTCGATGCATGCGGATTTGCCCGCGCGAGGGGCGCCCATGAGGCAGCGCCGCAGAGGTTCGCCCATCACGGCCCGCTACTGCTTGCAGCCGCGCCGAGAGACAGGGCCTCGAAGGCCACGATGCTCCTGTTTGCAACGCTCCACCACGCACGACAGGGAGTCCTTATGGTCCTTGTTCGGCGGCCTCTTGATATGTTCCAACAGCATGAGCCAATCGTCGGCAGAGGTATCTCTCAATTTCACGTGCGCCTCCATCTGCAGATTCTTCTCTTTTGACCTCCGCTGCTGCCTACGAGCGTTCATGGCGTCGCTGGATGCTTTGAATTATCCCCTCGGCGCCGCCTCCGCGAGATCCGCGGGCCATGGGCGCGCCCCCCGAGGTCGCAGTCTCGCCGCGTGCTGGGCGACCTCGTTCGCGGTGCCCGACTGCAGCTGGTTCCGGCTCGCCTCGTCGAAGGCGTCGTCAGCAATGGCATTATTCTTCTTCTACTTCCCGGCAGCGTCCTCTCCGCAAGCTCGCTTCTTCTCAGCGTTCTCCAGCCCTGCAGGCGTCGTGTTCAACTCCGCAGAGACATCTTCAGGTCTGGCGCGCCCTGAAGCTCGTCGCCGCCGCCATTGGCGCCCGAGTCGCGCTCGCGTCGCTCCCCCGTGGCCCCGCGGCGCGCGGCCGCGAGCGGCGCGATGGGCAGCGCTGCGTCCTCGGGCGCGACGTTGCCGCGGATGCAGTTGCGCCGCGCGAAAGAATAGTCAGCTACGAAGAGGCCCTTTTTGGATCCCGTCGACCTTCGCCGTCTCTGCGGCGTCTCTTCTGCGCGTGGAGGGCGGCCCTAGTCAGCCCCCCCCGCCGCCTGGTCGAGTTCGACAACGCGGGGCGCCTCCGAAGTCGCCTGCCTGCGGCCCGGCACCCGCTGGCGAGGATATGCCGCGCGCGGTCTGGCCTAGTCCTGCTTCGCGGGCTGCCTGTCTAGCATGGGCTCGTTCGCCGGAGCGGGCGTCATAAGCCGTTTGCGTCTCGCCACGCACCACTTGTCACGCGGCGCGAAATCGCAGGCCTCGTCGCCAATGCTGGGATAGAAAAGCACCGTGCGACGCTCCGCCTCCGGACTCGGCCCGGACATCCTCTTCTCGTGGCCCGGGCCATCGGGGCCCACTGGTGGTCCAGCCAATTGTTCAGACCACCGGGCGCGCCGTCCGCATCCATCGTCGGTTTTGGTAGTCCGCGGCGTTCCCAGTGCATCAGGAGTTCCCGCGGGCTCAGCAGGTGCACGCCTGCGTCCTTGTCGTTCCTGCCGCGGCGGCCGTGCAGGTCTGGGGAACGCAGCAGCCGAACCTCCGTCTCTTCTCCGAGCTCCTCCGTCATCGCTGGGACCACCTTCCTCGCGACCACGCATTCCTTCTCCTTCTCGTTCTCGTGCTTGGCCAGCAGTACGCGACCGTCGAATTCAATGGGCCTGAGCGCGCAGACGAACGAACTCTGCCGCCGCCACATCCTGCTTGTCGCCGTGCGCGGTCAGGTTTCACTCCTCGGCCGCAGTGCGTCGCTGGCATCGGAGGCCCAGGTCCTGGGCAGCTCTGCGCGTGGTGAGGCGCCACTGTTGGGCGGGAGTTGTCTGCTCCACGGTGCGCGCGAGATAGTTCAAGCTCCTTGGCAGCAGCCGAAAATTGTTTATGTCCACGGGCCTCGCTTCGGAGGTGCACCCGCAATGGTACCCCGCGCGCTGCCTCTGAGCTCTCTGGGCCCGTTTCGCGATGATATTCAACATTCGTCCATCGCTCGTGCCCTCGCGGCACTTGCTGCTCCAGCGGAACTCGCGTTCGTGGATGTCTGCGCTAAGCGGCAACCGCCAGTTTGACGGCGCCTGAGCGTTGCTGCCGGACGCCGCGGCGAAACTCGGCGCCGCTCCGCTCTGCCATGGCCTGCGCCGGCAAACGAGCAGAACCCCAATTGACACCGCTGCCCCGACGGCCTCTGGTTGAACTTCCGGGCGAAGCCTGGGCATGCCAGCATGGCGCGCGTCAGCTCGGCATCCGCCGCTGTCTGCTTGGGGAAATTCGCGCTTGCACGTGGGGGCAATTCTGCCATCCTTCCTTCTGACGCGATTTCCTTTTTTCGTCCGCTTGTGCAGGTGGTACTGCGCCCAGCTAAACACGTTCTGCATGAGCGCTCTGAACTTCTTTCCGTATTTGTGCCCGTCTTGCCTTAGCGCGCGTTTGATCTCCCGAGTCGTCGTCGAGGCGGCGGCGGCATCCCAAACTGTTATCGCGCCATTCTGCGCGAGGAAATCGGGCGTCACAGACGTGAAATTGTGCTGTGGCCCGCCCATTTGCTCTGCCACCCCTCCTCTCTCGTCAATTCCACCATCTCCTTCGCCTTCGAGTCGAACACCTGATGCGTGTGGATCCACCCCTGGTAGCGTCGGACTTGGTCGCGCGTGAACTGCCGACTTCTCAGCAATTCCGCTATCTGGCGCATCATTGCGAACGGGTAGATGCTCGCAGCGTGCATCTCCAGACGCGGGCGCTGGGGGCCGTTGCCCCGGCGTTTCGCGCCTCCTCTGGCGGCCGCGACGCCGCCGCAGACGCCGCCGCCAGGCCGCGTGTTGTTGCCGAACTGGCCCGGCAACCCCTGCCGTGAAAGTTGCGCCTAGGGCAGCGCGGGCGCACGCGCGCTCCGAGCAGCATCATGGGGCGGAAATTGATCTCGACCGCGCATGCCTCGATGACGGCGTGCGGGTCCGGCGCGGCCGCCGCGCATCTCAGCTCGTGCTCCATGCCTGACAACCGGATCGTTCCGTCGGCACCTGCTGGGGCGAGGCGCCGGGGCCGAGTGGCGCTCCAAAATCGAAGAAGTCCGGAAAATACAATTGCCGTATCGCACCAACGCCCCACCACGCGGCGCAATTGCTCAGTTCCTGGCAATGTCCCACCGAGGCGAACCAGATCTTTAGCGACTTCCCGCTCGACGTTGGATAAACCGCGCGCGCGGCAGCATCGCAATGCTGCCGGCGCCAGGCCTGCGGGCGGCGCCTCCAGACATCGGGACAAACATGAAACGACCTCGAACGACGCTGTTCCCCAAAAGGTTTCGGAGAGCTTCCGGGGAACACCGTTGCCCGATGCGTCTCAGCGTTCGTCGACCACTGGATTAACTACCCTCGCGTCGAAGGACAGCGCTTTCAAGGCAACTTCCCAGACGTGTGGCGGGCCGTGCCGTTTGAATTTGCACCCCCTCCGATCCATCGCTCGCGCCAGACGACGTCGCGCGTCGTTCCCCGGGATGGCCGAGACATGGCAAATAAAGGTACCCCCATTTAAACAACCATCGTCGAACGACGACGCTCCCCGAGCGAGTTCTCAAACGTTTCGGAGAACGCATCGTTCGATGTCGCGCCCCTGCCTGGCCCAGCGACGCCGCCGCCTGTTGCCCAGGCTCGTTCTGGAAACTCTCGGGGAATAATGCCGCTTTTCGATGTAGCGCCGCCACTTCCACTGGCCCCATTGCCTCCGCCCGCCTCCGCAGGAGGAAAATTTGCGACGCCCGATGCAAAAACTCGAAGCTTGCGAAACATTTGAGGCTTGTCCACATGAAGCGCTGCAACTTGCTCCATGCCCGATGTTCCGCACCGACGCCGCCGTTGTGGAGGACCTCGCAGAGCCTCTGAGACGCGCCGACTCTCTCGGACGCATCCGCTTGGAGAGCCAAGCCTGCTCCACCTTAACACGCGCTCGGCGCGCCCATCGCGCGCTGCGACCTCCAAGCGAACGCCGCGTGGCGCATCGCGGGGACCTCTGTCCAATCGTTCCGCACCTGCGACCCCGTTCGCCGCGCCATTCCGAGGGGGCAAACTCCTGCGCGCCGACCAGCGGAGGGTCCGGCGGCCGCCTGCTGCGCCCCAGCGGGGAGAAGTCGCGCCCGCCACAGACGCGCGGAGGGAAACAAACAAACCAAAAAGAGGAAAGCACCTCAGAGAAGCAGGGCGCCTCGAATTGAGACATCATCTTGCCCCCCGCCTGGATCTGCAGCTCGCCCCAGTTCTGTCGGGCCCGTTCCCTCTGAGTGGCGGGGTCGCTTGCAGACTGGGCGCTCCTGTCGACGCAGATGGCATGTGGCCGAATGTCTCTCGGCCACCTGTTGAGAGACCTCGCTCCGTCGCCTGGCGCGGCGTTCTTCGGCCCCTTCGCGCTCGTCTTCGGGCATCTCGAGCCTCGCATCCGGGTGCTCGAAACCGATTGCCTTCCGCATCCTCTCCCGCAGCTCCGCGGCTGATTCAAGGCCGTGGAAAGCAGGGTGGTTCTGTCCGATGAGGTAGTCCAAGAGCCGTGCCAGGACGCAAGGCCGCACTGAGACTTGCTTCAGGTGCTTCTACATGTCAATCCCGGCCACCCGCTAACGCACTCGCAAGACGTACTTCAATAAGAAATATTGCCCGGGCGGGTGCGTCGCGAGCTCCTGGCCCTCCAAATGCTTCTTCAGAGACTCCAAGACATCCTCCCAAGGCATGCAATAGCTGACGAAGCCGCCTCTGACAACGGTCCGACCCCTTTGGTTCTGCATTTCCTCATTCATCAAATGACCATGATCACCCTCGACGTGCTAGATGACAATATTCGCCCAGCACGCCGACACTGTGGCAATCTCCAACCATCGACCTTTCTGTCGCGCAATGATGTCAGAGGTATACTCCACAGACCTATCGCTCGCCGGACCCATGGGGATTCTGCTCTTGCGATTTTCGTTCCTGGCCCCCCACCGGCAGCCCCGGCAAATCGGAAACTGGCAGCTGCGGCAGCGCACGCGCGCTGCGCGCCTGCATCCAGGCCAAAACGCAGCATCCTCGGGACAACGCAATCTGCGTTTGAACTCTTTGTCCGGCAGCCGCAGCACCCGCTGTCATTCGTAGTTGTCCACAATGATGCGAGTCGTAGTCTGGCATGGATTCACTCCGTTACCAAGGCGATCTTCAGCACGCCGCCGGTTAAACGCATGCATCCCGAAGTTGTCGTCATACGCGTCGGGGTCTTCTTTGTGCATTCGCCAGAGGTTGCTCCCGTCGCCCATCATGCAAAGATCTGCGCGCGTCGCCAATGGGCGCCGCCTCTGCCGTCGGCCACTGCCAGAACAGTCGCATATGTACGTATCTGAGCGCAGCACAGGCACATGTACCCCTTGATGTTGTCGCTGTGAATGGCGTCGGCGGCCAGCGACGAGTGGCCCAATGCAGGGGATGCCCTCTTGCTCCCACTTTGCAGTCGCCGCGGTGCAGTGCACGACGGTGCCCAAGCTGTCGTCGGCGAAGCGTTGCCACCGTGGCCTCCTCGAAAGGGTCTGCGCGATCGACCTGATCCCATTGCGCTCGAGGTTCCCCTGATCCGCCCATTCTCGCGCCAACCCGCGCTCGTTCCCCGAACTATCCCACGAATGTATCGAGGCACGAACTGCGCGCAAGAAGCCGTGGGAAACGTATTCTAACAAGCTCTGCCAACATCTCTCGGCCGTTCGTTATCCGAAGCATCGCGCCAATTCTTCGGGGGACCAGAGAATCTGAAAACGCCCCCTTTGGCGACGAGACTGAATGATGCACTCAGAAAAGTACGCGCGCGAAACCCCTCGATTCAGACGCCCTCTGACCCCAGGCCGCCCCCCAAACTATCGCACCTTTATTTCGGGGGCCGATATTCCCGAACCAGATCCCTGGAAGCCGATGCCTGTGATGGTAACTGGCTGATCACAAGGCCATCAGTGACACCTCAAGTTCACCGGCGGGCGCCCACACTCTTGCGCAGTACCAGGGCTCGGCGACGCACCATTTGCACGAGAGGTCTGGTGCCGCGGGGGGACGGGTCCTCCAGGTGGTCCCTGCGGCCGACGGCAATGGCGAGGCCCACCGCGTTTCAGGACCCACCCTTCAATCGTTTCGTGGCCCCATTGTAGGCGGCGAGCGAGGGGGGAAGTGAGAACGACAAGGCCTTCTCAGAAGGCGGCGGGGCTTCTCAGAAGGCCTCTGGCCTTCTGAGAGGTTTTCTTGTGTCTTCGGGGAAGGCTTAGAAAGCTTCTCAGAAGGCTTGGGGACTTCCGAGCCTTCTGAGAAGGCCCACCCCTTCTCACTTCCCCCCCTCGCTCGCCGCCGACAGTGGGGAGCTCCACCGGAGGCCCAAGTGGCTGGGCTCACATGGTGACCCGCCCCATTTCAGCAGACCCCCTGACACGCTTCGTGGACCCGTTGGGGAGCTCCACCGAAGGCCTCAGTGGCTGAGTTCACAAGGTGACCCACCCACTTCGACACACCCCTCTAACACGCTTCATGCACCCATTGGGGAGCTCCGTCGAAGGCCCCAGTGGCTGGGCTCACATGGTGACCCGTCCCATTTCGGCACACGCCTCAAGTTTCGTGGCCTCACAGCTTCACAGCGCTCCCACAATGGCCTCGCTTTTGAGGGGCCGCGAGGTCGACATTTCGACACGACCATCAGCGAGCCCGACTGCGACGGCGCCTTCGACCTACCGAGCGCCCACGCGCACACTGCCGCAGGGCGCCGAGTCGGCGCCAAGCCGCCGCACGCTGCGGACCCGCCCCGACAGCGGCGACAAGCACGATGGCGACGGCGTGACGACGCCGCCGACGCCGACGAGGACGAAGGCGACGGCGCTGACGGCGCTGACGACGACGAAGCCGACGCCGACGCCGGCGCCGACAACGACGACGACGACGGCGCTGACGACGACGACGACGACGGCGACGGCGACGGCGACGGTGACGAGGGCGACGACGACGACGGTGACGAGGCCGAGGCGGGCGCGGGCAGGCCTTGGGTCCTTCTCTGGCGGCCGCGCATGCCGCCCATGCCGCCCATGCCGCCCATGCCACCCATGCCACCTCCCCTCGAGACCGAAGGATCGGCCCATCGGCAGCAGGGGGCTCGAGGGCCAGGGGGCGGTCGAGATCCTTGGGCGCTGTTGGCTCCCTCGTTGTCTGTGGAGGCCTGTGGGGACCTCCGCGAGCGTGGCTGCCGCGCTGGTCATCCGAACGCGGGCCTTCCGTACCCAATGGCTCGGGGCATCGTCGGGAAACTCCGGGCACGTTGTGCATGAGGGCGCAGGACGCAACACGACTCGAGGCCACACAGGAGGGAGACTCGAAGAGCGACAACTCGTGCCGCTCGCAGGCACCAGATATGAAATCAGTGTAGTTGTCAAGAGCCCCCCCCGCTGGCGCGCCAAGAAGACTTCAAGGCGGTCCCGAGGGGGCCGTCGAAACGCTCAAAGGAAACAATGATCTGCCTTGACGAAACCAACATCTAAAACAATACGTGCGGAACCTGCAGTGTTGAACACAATTTAGATGTACCCTGCCCTGATGTGCCGCGGCCATTTACATTGCATAAAACACGCCAGGGCTTGCCTTGGAGAGATGTGCTGTCTTGTAACTGCTGCCTTGCAATGATCAGCTTGCCGCACCAATCTCGGTACCGCCAGGTAGCCGAACAGAGAAACGTCTATTGCGCGCACGCTAGCGGGACTGAACGTGTCCGCTGCCTCGCTGGCATCAGTGAGCGAGCTCATGGCACATACCGATCCCGCGCGCATCCTTGTTCTCAAAACGAGCTCGTCGCGACCCTGATTATGGATCATCGTTGCATACGTAAGGGCAAACAACCGCGTATCGCAATGGGAAGCAATGCGAACGCAATGCAACTAACACGCAATGGGAAACAATGCGAACGCAATGCAACTAACTAACGGAATGCAACTAACACACCTTGCAATGACATGGAATGCAAACTAAATGCACTGAAACGTGCATGAACACCATGCATACGTAACCCGCTACCGTGCACCTTCCACAATGCTCTTCTAATACCTTGTGAATTGTTTTGTGCTTTCTATGGCCCCCCCCTACCGGCGCACTCTCTCTGAAAATCGCCCCCCCCCTCTCTGGAGCCGCTTCTGGAACACTGCCCACACTATTACAGATGTTAGTCAGCGTGTAACCAAAAGACAACTGCACTGTGGAGGTAACAGCTATGCAGTGTATGTCATGTGCTGAAGGCTTTGTCGTGTAAACTACCGTTGTGGGAACTGTGAATTTGAAAGCTGTGCAGTGCACGTTATATTGTGCAAGAGCTAGGCCGTGCGCACCAGAGATGCGGGCTATAGATAGAGGGCAAGCCGTGTGGTGCTAGCTATGTTGTGCCATCTACGCGGTGCAAGCCATTTAGCGTAAGCCACGCGATGCGAGCTGTGGTGCAAACTGCGTGGTGTAAACTACGTCGTGTAAGCTCACAGCACCCGGCGGCCACGCGGCCCTCCCTAATTTGGGGAACGAACAATGACACAAACACAAAAACTCGGAGGCCCGCGCGGATTTCTCGCATCGGTGCTGGAGACCCCTGGCGGCGCCTCCGGCGCCGCCCCTGGCGCGGTCCAGTGCGGATTCAGAAGTTGCATGCTCATGTCATTGTTCGTTCCCCTGCCCACGAGGCGGCACGAGCGGCAGCGCGGCGCAAATCTCGGCACACACACACACACACAGGCGCTGGGCGCCCACCAGGCAGCGCGGCAGGCCGCGGGTTAGGTTAGGTCAGGCATGTCCCTCTACAGGCGGGTTCTGGGCGAAACATCAAAACTACCCCCCCCCCCCGCACAGGGGAAACCAAGATCGGGAGCATAGTTGTTATAATTGTGTAATGAAAATCAATGGAAAACCTGTGCTTGTATATGGAAGTGTTTGATTTGAAGGGTAGGAACTGGTTTTCCTTCTGCCTGCACAATCAAAAGCAACGCGGGAGACAACCAAATCACAAACAACAACCAATTAGCCTGGCGAAGGACCCAACCATATGCAGCTGCGAGTACCGCGCGGATATGAGGCGAAGGAGGGGGCACGCAAACTAGGCCCCTCTTCTCATAGGCACCGCGCCACTGGGGCCTTCGGTGGAGCTCCCTATGGGGCCACGAAACGTGTGAGGGTGTGCCGAAATGGGTGGTGGGGAGGCATGCGAACCCTGCCACTGGGGCCTTCGGTGGAGCTCCCTATGGGGCCACGAAGCGTGTGAGGGGTGTGCCGAAATGGGTGGTGGGGAGGCATGCGAACCCTGCCACTGGGGCCTTCGGTGGAGCTCCCTATGGGGCCACGAAGCGTGTGAGGGGTGTGCCGAAATCGGTGGTGGGGAGGCATGCGAACCCTGCCACTGGGGCCTTCGGTGGAGCTCCCTATGGGGCCACGAAACGTGTGAGGGGTGTGCCGAAATGGGTGGTGGGGAGGCATGCGAACCCTGCCACTGGGGCCTTCCCTACCCACGAAACGTGTGAGGGGTGTGCCGAGATGTGTGGTGGGGAGGCATGCGAACCCTGCCACTGGGGCTTTCGGTGGACTCCCTATGGGGCCACGAAACGTGTGAGGGGTGTGCCGAAACGGGCGGTGGGGAGGCATGCGAACCCTGCCACTGGGGCCTTCGGTGGAGCTCCCTATGGGGCCACGAAACGTGTGAGGGGTGTGCCGAAATGGGTGGTGGGGAGGCATGCGAACCCTGCCACTGGGGCCTTCGGTGGAGCTCCCTATGGGGCCACGAAACGTGTGAGGGGTGTGCCGAAATGGGTGGTGGGGAGGCATGCGAACCCAGCCACTGGGGCCTTCGGTGGAGCTCCCTATGGGGCCACGAAACGTGTGAGGGGTGTGCCGAAATGGGTGGTGGGGAGGCATGCGAACCCTGCCACTGGGGCCTTCGGTGGAGCTCCCTATGGGGCCACGAAACGTGTGAGGGGTGTGCCGAAATGGGTGGTGGGGAGGCATGCGGACCCTGCCACTGGGGCCTTCGGTGGAGCTCCCTATGGGGCCACGAAACGTGTGAGGGGTGTGCCGAAATGGGTGGTGGGGAGGCATGCGAACCCTGCCACTGGGGCTTCGGTGGAGCTCCCTATGGGGCCACGAAACGTGTGAGGGGTGTGCCGAAATGGGTGGTGGGGAGGCATGCGAACCCTGCCACTGGGGCCTTCGGTGGAGCTCCCTATGGGGCCACGAAACGTGTGAGGGGTGTGCCGAATGGGTGGTGGGGAGGCATGCGAACCCTGCCACTGGGGCCTTCGGTGGAGCTCCCTATGGGGCCACGAAACGTGTGAGGGGTGTGCCGAACGGGTGGTGGGGAGGCATGCGAACCCTGCCACTGGGGCCTTCGGTGGAGCTCCCTATGGGGCCACGAAACGTGTGAGGGGTGTGCCCATGCCCCTGCCACTGGTGGAGCTCCCTATCGGTGGATGGGTGTGGAGGGGTGTGAGGGGTGTGCCGAAATGGGTGGTGGAAGCATGCGAACCCTGCCACTGGGGCCTTCGGTGGAGCTCCCTATGGGGCCACGAAACGTGTGAGGGGTGTGCCGAAATGGTGGTGGGGAGGCATGCGAACCCTGCCACTGGGGCCTTCGGTGGAGCTCCCTATGGGGCCACGAAACGTGTGAGGGGTGTGCCGAAATGGGTGGTGGGGAGGCATGCGAACCCTGCCACTGGGGCCTTCGGTGGAGCTCCCTATGGGGCCACGAAACGTGTGAGGGGTGTGCCGAAATGGGTGGTGGGGAGGCATGCGAACGGCGCCACTGGGGCCTTCGGTGGAGCTCCCTATGGGGCCACGAAACGTGTGAGGGGTGTGCCGAAATGGTGGTGGGGAGGCATGCGAAACCCTGCCACTAGGGCCTTCGGTGGGTTCCCTATGGGCCACGAAGCGTGTGAGGGTGATGCCGAAATGGGTGGTGGGGAGGCATGCGAACCCTGCCGCTGGGGCCTTCGGTGGAGCTCCCTATGGGCCCACGAAGCGTGTTGAGGGGTGTGCCGAAATGGGTGTGGGGAGGCATGCGAACCCTGCCACTGGGCCTTCGGTGGAGCTCCCTATGGAGCCACTCTAAACGTGTGAGGGGTGTGCCGAAATGTGTGGTGGGGGGGCCATGGCGAACTTGGGGGGGGATGGCGAGGATGAGTGGAGGGAGGAGGAGGAGGAGAGGAGGAACGCGGGGCACCGTCTCTTCAAAACGAGGACCCAACAACACAGGATGGTTGGGATCAAAAACAATTTTTCCCAAACCCTCGGGGCTTTAGTTCTGGAGCCTCCACAAAGCCGTCTCCCCTTCGGCCAAAACATCTGCCACACATGTGTTTTACTGTGGGAAGCCCCAAGGTTGTGGAGACTCTAAGCAACCACTCCTTGCGTTTATTGTATGCCAGTCCCTCTCACTCTCTCTCTCTCTCTCTCTCTCTCTTTCTCTATTCCTAGATTCCTCTTCCTCACGGTCTTATTAATTATATGTGTCCTCTTCTCTCCTCTGCGCCACCACCGCCACCAACATGTCATTGCGACTCTGCATCGTGCCGCCACAACGGAAATCTATGTGTAAAAGCACAGCGGAGGACATCAATTAATCAACCTGCCACAGAAGGAATGAATCTGCAAACCCGCAATAGAAGGGAATCGATGTGTAAACCCGCCACGAAAGGAATTGACTTGTAGATCCGATACACATTGCTTTCTATTGTGCGCGGCCTTGCGTGATTCGTGCCACATACTTCTTATTCCTTATCATAATGCTTCTCCTCTCTCTCTCTCACACCCTTTCTTTCTCGCCTCATTATCCTTTTTCTTCCCCTTCATCATCTTCAGTACGTAAATAAATGTTCCCCTCTTCTCTGCGTCATGATGTGATTGCGACCCTGCAGCGCCACCACCATTTTGCATGATCGTTGCCACCACCACCTCCACCACAACCAGTTGGACCTGGTCTCATTGCGACCCTGCGCCACCACCACCAGTTTCATTATCGTCACCACCACAGCCACCATCACCACGACCACCTGGACCACCAACATCATCACCATCAGCACTTTGGGGCGCCGCAGGAGAC